ACTCAAAATCTAATAATTCTCTTCTCACGATTTTTTAATAGTTGTTAATTTAAAATTCCCATTAATGAAAATATAGTTTATTCAACTGCCTCTGATCGGTTTAACAATTTCTTACATAACATTCTGAAAATCACATCATCTGAAGTGATTTGGCAACGTTTTGGCATACGCCCACAATTCGTTCCATCTTTCAACACAGACATTGACAACCTTCGGCCTTCTGTCAAAGGTTCATCTCACTCATTATTCCATGACCACCATTTTGTACAATCATCAAGTGGCTTCACGACGTAATGCTCTAATGTTTTCTAAATAATTTTTAATCTGTCTTTAACTTGTCTTGTTATATTTTATATAATTATAACCATTGTACCATGTATCCAGCTCTCACCATGTTACTGGACGTTTCCCTCATCCTATACGAAAACAACAATTAGCAACACCCTCACATACTACTGTAAGTAGATTCAATTTAAATTCATTTTACACTTTTGTTGCTACTGTTATCATTGTAATTGCAGCTCCTGATGATGATGGCAAAGTCCATTGAAAGCTAGAGAGAATTAAAAAAGTATAAAGAGTCCTCTTTGCTTAAATTTTGTCGAAGTACCCAACAAAAGGCGGAAGCTTTAATTTTTCACCTAACTGGTCTAGACGACAATGACCACGTCTCAAGTTGTATATTCAGGGTGACTTCGAAGTTGAGTCATTTATTTTAACAGTGAGTAGATCTGATCAAAAGAAATGTTTTTTTCCTTTACCATTTTCCTGGTAAAATTAAAGTAACAAAGTTATAGCCCTTTGGAAGTTTGAGTACCGCCCTGTCTCAATAACAATATTATGTGGTCGTGTTTGGCGACAATGGATATAATCCGCCGTATCGGTTCATCGCATCGGAAACAAAAAAGCGAAAGAATTTGGAACGATGTTTTTACAGGTATCTCATTCATTTGTATACAGTTAGTGTCAGTGAATAGTGGTATGTGTTGCGTGGCTCAAACGAAATAAAAAATGGCACATGTTTATGCGGATCGGTTTCCCAATCGAGTGCAACCAACCCCTCGTGCCTTTGTTAATGTAGTACAACGGGCTTGTGAATCAGGTGACTTAAGACCTCACAGGGGACCTCACGATCAAATACAGGTCCGCACTGAAATACTTGTCGGGAGGATACTTTATAAAACAAGGTAAAATTTTTTTTTTATTTTTTTTTATTTTTACACACATATTTTGGTTTATCTTCCTTCTACAATCATTATCTGAAAATTAATGACTCAACTTCAAAGTCACCCTGTATATATATATATATTATTAATACTTCTCATCCGTCTTTGTAACTCAATACTGTCATAAATAGACTTAAAAAGATATTTTGGTGAGCATGTCTTTTCTTACCATAAACTCCATTTAATATTTTGCCCTTTATCAGTTTGCCGTGTGGACAAAATTCTTAAATCTTTTGAAAGTTTCTTCAAGTCAAAAAATTCATTGAGATTGCTGAAGGCTGACGTTTTCTGGCCAATCGATAAACCAAATAGAGTTGTGACGGTTCAAAAAGATTTCCAGCTCTATTCATCGCAGTGTCAATTGCACTGTGGTCAGAGTCTCCCTCACTTTGTTCATGATTCGACCACCGGGGTGCGTATACCAACAAAGATTATTGCATACTAAGAGCTATCATCATTTATGTCTCTTCGTGGGAATTATGTATTTACGTTTGTAGATAAGACACCCAGGGCTTAATGGTGTGTTACCTACACTAATAGATATATAGTTATGCCTCTTTGTCAGATTAACCGGCATGGAATAATACACTTATATGAGAATTATCTCAATTTTTGGTATTTTGTTAGGACAATTCGTGAGAAAGGCGACGATATGGTTCCTCTTTGAATCTCGGAAAGCTATCGTAATGGTAGTTGATGTACTTAATAGGTACCGATGAGCATTACTATAGATGCGTGAAGAATCATATCATCTATTATTATTGAGGAAATATTGCCTGACATCAAATAGCATCAATATAAACAGATACCGCTCTCGGATGATACAAAACCTTTGGGAAAATTTCTTGTGTTGGCAATTCAGAATGTTTCGTTGTATTGCTGATTTTGCGAGAAATCCCATACATAGCAGATCTGTTTCGTCAACTTCATCGGTTTCAGCAATATTTATGCCCATATTTCAGACATATTAGTGTTTCCAAATAGCAATCTGAGGTAGCCGAGTATTGAATGGTTAATAATGATTGTACGTTTCAAATCACCAAGGTCCTCTAACAGGAAAACTCTTTGATTTGGCTTATATGTCTATTTAACTTGACTGAATACTCATCATCTGCGCAGGCTTCCGATTCTCTAACCGGTAGTTGAGCTGTTTTGTTCCAGAAGCAAGTGTTAGTGCTAATTATGTTTAAGGTATTTACTATATCAGATATCGTGTAAACACTGTTTATTTACGTATGTGAATGATGAAATGTTCACTTCTCCAGGCTGTCCATTGGTCAAAAAATGCAAATTTGATTGGAATCGGACCTAAGATATCATACTTCCTGGACTAATGTCTGTATATTCAGGAGCCTCCATTGTCCCCTTTGCGAGCCTGAATATTAAATCCATTCAAAATAATTAGTAGGTTCAATGGTCGTTAAGCTAGGTCATTTCGAAGCCGTGATTGCATCTCCGAGGAGCAGAAGCAGCTGCGTTTATTAAACTGCGCATTAATTCACGAAACATTAGGATAGAAGAACGGATGCCGTTTCGATGCACTTCCTACGGCTAAGAGCTCATATCTGACTGAATTTTTAATATCCATAAATTGCAATAAAAACTAATGACGCGGCGGAGCTGTGGTAAACGGGGGATTTTTAATTTGGTTGAATTAGGGTGTAGCCAATATGAAAGAAGCAACAAGGTAAGAGAGGGGACATAGGTTCCGGTTCTCCAGTAATCCAGGAAAAATATTTACAAATGTTTGCTGGCAAGTGAAGTATTACAGTTTTAAGATAAAAGCTCTAACCAGTATTGATTAATATATTGCTTGAGTGACCAGCATGCAATGCTTTACACAAGGCAACTATCTAGCTTACGAAGATATATCCCAACACAGAATCTCCGATGATTATGCATAATCTTCTGAGCCAAAGTGGAGACAACATTGATGCTAACTATAAAATGTCCTTAACCCAATTTAGGAAATGTATTGTTATTGAGTAATAGTGAAACACACTATGCGTAGTCATTGCTTGATATTGATGTCCACCATTTGTCATCTGCATTCATTCTTCCTTCTTTTCCTTTTTTTATGTGTATAACAATTCACGCTCAAAGACTCAAGTTAGACAAACGAGAAGGCTGAGGAGCCACAGGAATGTTTCTACTGGCCAAAAACTTAATGCGAACCGGAGTACTGTGATGTTCAGTAATATATTTGGTATAAAGTACCTCACAAGGGGCAAATCACCACCAACTTCGGAGAAAGATCTGATAGTTACGTGTGTCGTCACAGTTTCTCAGGCGATACCAACAGACGCATCCCTCACCGTTTCCTCTCTTATATTCTTTTGCTGGGAAGATAATTCACCCTCCACGACGGAGAGCCTCACAAAGGTTTTAAAAATAATGTAGCATTTAGGTCGATTTGCTATTTCCATTCCATGGTTTTAGCGTCTGCCAACCCCGTCCATGTCACGCAGACTGTCCCGAATGACAAATCGAGCTGGGCAGCTAACATGGCTGCCCTCATGAAAAATTTCATTGACAAACACACCAGAATAATCCGCCAAACAAGCCGCTGTTTATACATAAAAATTGCAAGCGGGCATGTGGAGATTGATACAGTCTGATGAAATATTTACGAAGTAACAGGGTGGGAACCAGCCTACTGAGGACCTCACCGAATAATGCATGGAGGGTCGATCAAACATTCAGTGGTGCAAAATTTTGTGAAGGAAATGAGGCAACGGGCTATTTTCAGTTATTCATTATACGAGGTGTGATCAAAGAATTATATAACTTTATGGATATCAGGAAATACCTACAGTCGTTACTAGTGTTCTTTATTTTCTTATGTTGGTCCACTCGTTCACAGCTTCAGCTATATATCGTGTTTTGTTCGTGAGAGGCATAATAAGAGGTTGCAGGTGTTTTGGGTATTTGGATATTTGCTGAGCAGAAATAAATGGACCAAACAGTTTGATTCAAATATTGTGTAAAAAATGTAAACAAAAACGAGAGTACCTTAAATGAGGCAGTTAAGATGGAGTTGACGAGGATCGTGACCCATTGCTGATGATCTTGCCATCTCGTATGGTTCATGTGAACGAACTTCCGACTGATGTGTGGCACCGCAGTTTCTTCCGAAACTGCTTAATGCTAATCAAAAGAACCGTCCCATGAGCTTCGCTCCTAAAGCCGGTACTAAAACTTTCCTAAAAATGGTTTTTCCAAAAATGTTTGCTTTTCAATTTGTCAAGATGTTCGTGTACTTTTGAGATGCTACAATAGGCCATAATGATTTTTCAATCTACTTATGACGAGAATGACGACAGGAACTCGCTACCACAAACATTGGAAGTTGTCCGAGTTCACAAATATGACCTCCGATGTCATTGTCTATCTCACAGGTGAGATCGTCGATATACTTTTATTCAAATTCAAATAATTTCATTTGCCTTTTGATATTACAAGACATCTTAAAACTAGCGACTAAATAATAATGGAAAAACAGGTCAGGTGACAATAAAACAAATATTTCGCGCTTAACACATTATATCCAGATCTGCCCACATAAGAACTAGGAAAGTTTGAAAGAGATGATATAGTTTGTTGCACGCGCCGCGCTGGCCCAATAATGCACTGGGCTCGAAGCCCCTAGGAACAGATATACCCGGCACTCCAAATTAGCTAGGTTCTGAAAAGCCGTGTCCCGGACTAAAGTTGGTCTTATCCTTGGATATGGGATTGCCTTTAGGGCTTAACTACCAGAGAAAATAAATCTACCCTACTCTACACACTCTCGAACCTCTGACTGTCGATTTCGGGTGCAAAACTGTACTGCCTCCATCTTCCTTGTAGGCAAGATTCCCCGCTAGCCCCAGGCTTCTTGAAAAAGGAATAGATCTTAGAAATTACAAGAGGGTTCTGAAACGAGAATACGTTCATCATTAATAATTTATATCCGTTTATATAGAACTCTATTATCAGCCGAAATGTCACTGAAAGTCAGAGTCACACAACCATTTCAGAAGTCTCGAGCCACATAACCATTGCATGGGGTCATCTACTTTCAACTTGACAGTAAAGATCATGATAAAACTCCACAGTACAACATGCCCAGACAAGTCAAACTTTGTACGTATTAACTGTGAACGAGCTGGTTGTGTTTGCAGTAAGGCTTAGTACACTGAGCAGCCAACAACAATCAACAGCCTGAAACCATGTAACTTTACAAGTAAGTTCGCTTGCACTCACTGTTTCATGTTCACGCAACAGCGAGTTTTACAGGGTTAATTTGTTTAGCATACAGCTTACGATTTTTAGTGGGAAAACTACAAGAGCTGTGAGGTTAAAATGTGCATTTTGTCCTGTTGTTCGAAAACTTTAAAACTCCATTTCAACTTTCTGACACGAACGACATGGTTTCCATTTACAGACCAGAATCAAAGAACCAGTTATCTCCATTACACTAAATTTTCTAAGAGGCAAGAAACCACGCTTGATCTACTCTCGCAGAACACACAAAAAGGCATTCAATTGTGGTATACTGTGGATATCTATTGCCTTTTTTTTTCTATCGGACAGTGTATATTTGTATTACCGTAGGGAATCTAGATTAACTTTGAATCGTGTGGTTCCACATATGTGAGGTGATCAGCTTTCAAAAAGGTTGTGGCCAGTGTCTTAAAAGATGATATAAGCTACGTTATTGTGGTTAAATGATAATTTTTTGAGAAGCAGATTGGTCGTTAGCTTAATTTCTTGACAGACTTTTATCATTTTTCCAAATCAAGAGGAAAACAAAACAAAGTTCTGAAATCTGAAGGAGGTAAATATTTATATTAGAATTGACTCATGGCCACACAACAGAATAGATGCAGCGTTGTTAATATAGGTATATCTTTCTCAGTAATTTGTGAATTTTTGGAGCTATTTCTCGTATTAATGGGCTGAATGCTTAACCGACATTATTTTAAGATACAAGAATTATTAGTAATATGTTAAGTCTAAATATTACCACAAGAGCATTCTAGAGTAAAGAATAAATAAGATGAGTGGACAAAGTTGTAATAAAAATGACTCTCCCTATATGTGATGATTCTGTTAGGGTCAATTTGAAGCTCGGTTGAACAACTTTGCCCACAATTTATGTAACTCAATGCCATACATCACCATGAGGAGTATTAAAAAAGATTTACACAGTTATATTATATATTTGCTTCATTCGAATAAGGAAGAAATTATAAAATCTTATTGAAGTTACAACCTGGAAGGTTTATCTTAAATTTGCAACTATCTTCGGAAAGAGCATTGAAAAAATAAACAATAAACTAAAGTTTAAAAAAATGGCGATTAAAGTAACACCTGATACATATTAATCGTGGGAAGTGGGTAATAATCCTTTACATTTTTTCTAAGGAACTTCGTTGGGAATTGAACGCAACAAAGGGGAAGACTTCCTAATCATTTAGGCTTAACTCCAGCTCCAACTATTGAAACATTAGTTTTTTTCTTATCAAACACAAATTATAAAAATGTAGCAGGGTGTTATAGGTTTAAAATATTAACAATGAATATTTTGATAATATATAGTAGAAAACACCAACTTTATCACTTCCTAATCACATTTGAAGCATAAAAATAAGACATGTTGCAATAACTAGCATATCAACCTATTTTCATTTCAATGCAAAATAAGTCTATAACGCATAGGTGGCTGTGAAAAATAAAAGCCGTGACAATTGTTTTTATTAACCACAGCTGTCAGAATACGTATAAAATAGTTTTTTGTAGTTAAGGTTTTCAAAATGGGTAGAGGAAAGGTTATTAGTGAGAAAATTCGGTTACTGATAATTAAATTATTTTAATTCTGGGAAATCAAACTCATAAATTGCAACTTTGATAGACTTATCGCGGTACAGTGTGAGAAATATTGTTAGAAGATATAACGTAACTGGTTCAGTTAATATTAAGCCGCGATACGTGAAAAAAAGTAATATCACAAATGCCGACCGAAGAGCATTAAGAAGAATAATCGTGAAAGATAGGCGTGCCACTTATTTACAATTAAGTGCTCTATGGAGTGACGCTGTTGGAAGGAGAATTTCGAGGTTCACAACTCATAGAGAAGCCCACAAACTGGGATTTAGCACTTGCAGGGTAAGTTTTCTTATAAAAAAAAGTGAAGTAAAAACCCTAGAGTTGCACAACTTGTTTATAGGCCAAATAAAAGCCACTATTAACTCCACTGCAAAAGAAAAATAGGCTTAGATGGGCTAAAGAACAAAGACAACGGATACCTCAATTAATGGTGTGCAATGCAATGGAGTGATCAGGCCCGATTCGAATTTTGTGTTGGTGATAGTCGCAGTAGAGTTATTCGTTATTATTATTATGGTCTGGGGCAGTATGTCATCAAAAGGAGTAGTAAAACTTCATTTTATTGATGGAAATGTGGATACAAACAAATATTTGGCAATTTTAGAACAATCGCTTTTACCAGTGATGGAAGAATGTTTGACATCCGGCCAAGATTGTGTGTTTCAGCAAGATGGTGCAGCGTGCCATACCTCAAAAAAGGCTATAAAATAACTGGAAGAAAATAATGTACCACTTTTGAAATGGGTTTCTAGCAGTCCAGATCTATCACCTATTGAAACTTTGTGGCACGAGATGAAAAAGGTTCTACGACAACATCCTGCTCGTGCAATCACCGAACTGAGACAAAAACTTCAAGAAATATGGGATTGTTTTACACCAACTTTTTGCCAAAACTTGGTTAATACTATGCCCCAAAGAATTTCAGCCGTAATAAAAAATAAAGGTGATGTTACCCAATGGTGATCTTTCAATTGTTGCTTTGGTGACTTCGCGGATTTATTCGCACATTGTTTATTTGTTCAGATGTTCTATTAGTTATAGGTCTAAGGGATTTCATATATGTATCTTTTACGACTAGAGTGTATCTGAAACATTTTTGAGAAAATAAATTGTTTCAGAAGTAAATAGTTTCGTCCGGTTTAGTTTATAAAGGCGTATTTTGGTACAAATCTTGAAGTGGGCCAACTGAAGTGGGAAGGGGCTCGTGGTTTACTTGTCTTTTTGTCAACAGAAATATTCTTAATAAGAAACGAATAAACAGTTGAAATGGACATGTTCTCTTTGCATCTGTGCACATATAACCATCAGCAGACAGCAGACAGAGCCGTTTCGCGCTCATTAGGATCTCATTAGTACACTATAGGTCTAGTAGACTGCGCTGACGTGCATCGATGCTTAGCGTCCTTCCTAAATTACAAGGAAAATGTAAAACTCGCTTACCTGTTGGTACCAGACAAGCTGCCCATAACAGCAGATACGATGTGACTAACGTTAAATCCGACTGCTGTACTAGCGCCAGACCGTTGTTTGATCAAACTGCGATGTCGCCAACGCTAAATTATATCAGATTATTTTTATCTTGACAACGGGCAAAATTGGTAGACAGAACAAGTTTAAGGTATCATCATTCTAAGGCGAATGCTTGGCAACACCGACATACTGGCTAGCCGCACAGTCAACAGCGTAAACAAACAATTGAAAAATGAAGATCGTCACAACGTCATTAAATCAACGTAGGCTGGGAAGTAATGTGCATCCAGCATGCGACGAGATCGGAAGGCCGCGCTTAAGTGGATATTCTAAGGGTCTCTTTAGACAGTGCGATTCAAAAAAGTAATTCTCTACATGTACATGACCATTTAGCAACTCAGGTAAAGAATATACTAGATAACTTCTGCTGAGTGATAGTGAACGTTACCAATGCTTAACAAGCTTCGTAGAATGGAGTCCGTGCTTGTATCTAGACAGTTCTTTAATGGAGATTTCCTACAATACCAGCCATCTGAGCTGCAATTGAACAGACTGATTGTTAAATTTGGCTGCATGACAGCACTTGAGTGAAAAAAGGTAACTTAATACCTGGTGTCACTATTATAAAACTCCCTCGATGCACGGACTTCTTTTTACTTAAACCACCACCAATATCTGAGAGGTAGATGTCAATATAAAAGATGATGTCCAGTTTTTCGACAGTTTCATATTTCTTATACAACTAAGGTCAAGTTTGTACACAATATGCGTATTTAGACCTCCTAGTTTTGGTGAACATTGTTCCACGGTTTAACGACTAATAATGGACAGCTTTAAGTGGTATGTGTTGATACTCATTGTCTACCGTTTTGCAGTGTATTTGCTTTGAAATCGTTACGTCTATCCACACCCTAATAGTGGCTGGACTATAAGGATTACGATTTACATGGGACAAAGCCTGAAATGCCTTATTCACAGACCGACGTCATCCGCGGTAAAGCGTCGTACGAACTTGATAAGAAAGTGACCGTTGCATCTTTGTATCTGTTTGACCAATAACGTGTTTTACATGTTGTTGGATAGCGTCTTTTGTGAACGGTACATTCCGCTTGGATGAAGTTTATTCGCTATCGAATCTTGGAATGTTTACTGTTTATATATTTTCTTAAAGACGTTTGTCTGTTATCAGTCAATGCCTCAACCTTTGTAATGTTGTGAAGTCTATTCTCAGTCTAAAAGCTGAGATGCATTATTGACAACGACAAATACGTGAAGGTATGGATATTTGCATTGTTGCACAATATGATATACGGCTTAGGAGGTTTTAGAACTGGACATCCTCTTGATAACTGACACAAAACGGTATAAGCGTTGTAATATAATTCAGATGCTAGTATACATCAACAAACTATAATACTTAGGGATACGGCAAAACCGCACTGCTAAGATCCACAGCTGCGATTTTTGCATTTGCTTTTGTTTAAGAAGAACTTGCAATGCATTGACAAGCTGTACACTTCTTAATTTACCTTACCTGTATCCTATACCTTGCTATAGTTTTATTCACGGTTTTTGGTGGAAATAAGTAAACAGGTTGACTGAATGTATCATGTGCGTAGCTTAACTTTCTTGAGGTAAACTGTCCGTCTGCAGCTCGCTTTTGCAAACACGAATTGGGTGAATGAGGGCCGTTGCTTTCATTCTCTTCTATCAATACTGTACTCGTTGCTATATTTTATATCGAAGATCAACAAAGGTAAACGCAAACCGACTCCCAAGATCAATCAGCATGATGTCACACAGTGACAAGCATAAGTATGAAAGACTGCTATCTGCCCATTTAACCAAACGTTAAAGCCACATATGTGGCGTAAATTGGATTGTCAACATGCCGCAAGCAATTTGTCGTATACAGTGTTAATTTTTTGTCAAAGATGCAGAAAGAAGAGCATATAGCGAGAGCGAGGAAGAGAGGCAGACAGAGGTAAATCACATAAACATCAATAGGCTTTTTAGGAAGTTGCACTAGTGTGGAGATTTCGGCAAAGAACCACCCCCTTTTCAAGAGCTTACACCACAAAAGCTTTATTTTTTATACCTGAAAGAATAAGGTTCGCTAGAATGTGAATCATGAGGTGGGTCCACTAGACGAAGCTTGAATACTAATATACGTTCTGTAAGGGACATATTAGGGTTGCAGCGGATAGTGAATTATCCGGATAACCGGATACCGAATATCCGGTTATATTGAGGATTCTTTCAGCAGCGGAGAATGCAAGAAACTCATCAAACATTTTTGTAGCTGTTCCAACGAGGTAGCTGAAGCAAAGTGTGACAAGTATCCGTATGCATGGGGCGTAGTCAATCGTCAAATTCAGGTGACCAAACGAATTATAAAAGAAATGGCAGTCAAATCCATGCGTCAAGCTGAATTAGTTAACTGTTTTTAGTCGTCCACAACCTTCAGAAATGTGTTGCCATAACATGCCTAATATCCAATTCTGACAAGGTTTGTCTAAGTATCTGTCTTGTCTCCCTGTAGCAGTGTATACAGTGTAAGATCGCCATTCAAGCTCGTCATATCATACGAGGAGCAGCTAACGGGCTAAAGCCAGTGAACGCAGAAAGCTCCCATTCATGGACTACAATTTGCTGATAATTTAATAATTCATTGATAATACTTGAAATATCACAGAATATATTGTTATGTTCAAACCTTTATTAGCTTAGGCTGTTTTTGTATCCAGAAGAAACATCTTATTTGTCATTCCACACTCTACATAGGAAGCATTGGTTGTTCATTGTAACCTACCGAAGGCTGATTGTAGCATTAAAAACAAAGTTCGTGTATTTTGCGGTTTTTGTTTTATTACGATCCGGCTTTCGCTGGATACTGAGGCTAGTGTTCGGTCACCTGGTCTGACAATAAACTGTAGCCAGATACTGGATAGTAGCCGAATATCCGTTGTAACCCTATTTCAGAACATATAGCACTTGCATACCTGGCAACACTGCTAAAGATACATATCGTTGTCCAGCCCTGTTAAAAAATCATTACTAGAAATTGCTCAATTTCACACGTTTCCAGCTCGGCTTCCTAATGTTTAATTCTGCCGTTGCTGTGTTATGGATGACCGTCGGTCACGCATACCTCTCACACCTTCCCTTCGCTGGCAGCTACAACAATAACAGATACATTAATTTATTACGAGACATCCACAGAGCAAAAAATAACCTTTTTTTTAATAAATACTGCTCGAACGTCATTGCAGTAATTTTCATTAAAAGACTAACATAGGCACCTCCAAACAATCCAGGCAGAATTTCTATATCCTGCATTCATAAACATGTGATAGGCTAATATCGTACTTCTTCTTCTAAATTTTTTGGGAATAAAAATTCCTGAGTTTCGGTCACCGTAAATCTATTTTATTTTATTTCTACAACGTTTCGGCCATCTAGGCCACCCTCAGGTACATACAATTTTCTGTAAAATATTAAAAGCGCTTCAAGGGGTACTTCTCATAAAATATTACATTACAATTACACATAATACATGCACCCGTATATAGAAGAACAATTTTAAAACTCTTAGGGTTGATTTCACTAACAATAAAATCTACCGGGTCTTCGACCAATTAGGGAGGCAATGCAATGTGACGCTGTCAAAGCTGAGTAATTTCTATTGAAATGTTGAATAAAATCGTAAAAATGCGGCTGTTCTATAAATAAGGGTACATTTTAGTTGTAATATCTTGTCTTCCAGCTTTAGAGTTAGGATAGCTTTCATAGAATTGCCAACTTCAATCATTTCGCAAAAGACGGGAGCTTATTTAAATGGGCCAATCAAAAATCAAGAAATAATAGCTCGATTTTCTAGCAATTATATCATCAAGTCATCGCTGGTTGTCAGAGCGGTCCGTGTGACCTTAGCTCTTGAGTCACAGTGTCAGTTTGTATAGCTATTCTATTTAATAGGTAGTTTTCACTCTTTGTGACGACTGTCCGTGAATGGCAATCTAGTTTTATCTCTATATCACACACAGGGTGTTGTACATAATACGTACCTGTGGAAATGTACCTATTCTTATTATTTTGCAAAAAAGGATATAAAACGTATTTCAACTTGTTCGTCATCTTTTATTCCATCAACAACAATTTATTACCAATTTATGATCTAGAAATATACACCAAATGTAAACAAACAGCACATTCTGCATTCCTGGGTCCTAAGACATCGATATTTGTAAATGTACCCGCATCCGCCTATTATTCATCGTCTAGATATTATGAGTCAGAATCAAAAATACCTATTTACCAAAATATTTGCAAAACTTATCTTTCCTGTCTATTTGATTTGGAACACGTCTGGAATCTAATTGTTTTTGAAGTTCTCCGCAGTGTTGTCGAACCGAAAAAGAAACGGAATCGGTAAATAGTGTCGTTGAATTCTGTATAGGGAAAAATGCCGTCCCAAGATCAGTGGCGGATCAAAGACTTTTGAGTCACGCAGCAGCGTCTATGAAAAACGTTTATTATTGTATTGCATATTTTTTGAGAGCATAGTTGTACATTACAACTTGTACAATGTGCATACTCGTACTGGTCGCTCGCTCTATCAAAGTCCATTGCAACCATTCTGAAAACTCGATTTCGATTCTTGCTTATATGGTTGGGAATATTTTTCCGTTTTACCCCTGAACTCATGAACTCACCTCACATTTTAATTAAATATTCATTTTGAAAACAGACAGGTTCCGGTTTCTTTATTGCTTGTCTGGACTAAGAGATGCTACATCTGATGCACCGCAAGGGTCTGTTCTAGGTACCATATATACGTCAGACATAATTAATGTTATGACACGCTGACGATACGCAGATGTATATATCCTTTAACCCAGAGAATTTTTAATATTCAGCTTCCCGATTTAACCCTCCATCGCTCGCACCGTTAGAAAAAATCTAACATTTTTTAAATGTTTCTCATAAATTTGAAATTACGCGGCTTAGCAGGCCCACCATCTAGGAATACTCCTTCAAACTAATCTACTATGTGAATCTGTGGTCGTGGGGAGGAGCTATTTTGTTCTAGTGCCGCAATCGCATAATGTTAGTTCCAGTCTAGCACGCGGGTTAGATAAAATCTAACGACGCGAGTGACGGCGTGTGTCAAACTTTCGGATTTCTGGATAAACTATCCTTAGTAAATTTGGTATAACCAGTAGCTCGGTAAGTTTTTTGTTTTATTAATTATTTTCAACTTATCAAATATCTTTTTTCAGTATAGCCATGGATGAAAAAGTTCAAAAGCAGTGGATGCAATGGTATGAAGAGATTCAGATTGACGAAGAGTTGGTTGGTTCCGATAATGATCTGAGCGATCACCCTTCAGAGCAGAATGAGTATAACGCAGATACAGAACAGTCTGAAATTGAGACAGTTGGGATATTTCCTGAATCTCCAGAGATCTTGACTGATGGTATACCTAAATTTTACGGAAAAGATAAAACACCTTGGTTCAAACAAAAACCAGCTGCACCCAAAGGCAAGACAAAAGCCCATAATCTTGATACAAAACTGCCTGGAGTAAAAAGTTATGCAAAAAATGCAAAAACCATTATAGACTGCTGGAAGTTGTTTGTTACAGATACGATGATAAATGATATTGTAAAATATACAAATCTGAAGTTAGATTTGATGAGAGAATCTTATCAGCGCCCACGAGACTGTCCTCCAACTGACTATGACGAAATGCTAGCATTTACTGGAATCCTTTACATGGCTGGCGTAAAGAAAGCCCATGACATCAACACTGAAGAAATGTGGAAATCCGATGGTACAGCACCTGACTTCTTTATCGCTACTATGTCCAAAAAAAGGTTTCATCAGTTGATTCAATCTATTAGATTTGATGATGCCACCAAACGACATGAGACTTCTAAAATTGCTAATCTAACTCCGATTCGCCAATTTTTTGAAACATTCGTAACAAATTGTAAACAAGCTTATTCTCCGGGATTTTACGTAACAATTGACGAAATGTTGGAGGCATTTCGGGGCAGATGCCGATTTAGACAATACATAGCCAACAAGCCCGCCAAATACGGCATAAGGATCTATGGATTAGTAGACGCCAGAACATTTTTTACATCAAATCTTGAAACCTACGCGGGTAAACAACCAGAGGAACCATTTCAACTAAAAAATGAGGCAGCGAGTGTTGTATTGCGACTTATAGAGCCAATTAGTGGTACAGGAAGAAATGTAACCACTGAAAATTATTTCACCTCAGTGCCATTGGCTAATAGCTTATTAGTAAACCATCGACTAACTGCAATAGGAACAGTGCGCAAAAATAAGCCTCAAATTCCTCGAGAGCTTCTAGATGTGAAAAATAGACCAGTAAAAAGCAGCCTGTTTGCATATGGTGAAGACTTGGATGAAAACCCCAATAAGTGCCTTCTTGTTTCATATGTACCAAAGCGAAACAAAAACGTACTGTTATTCTCAGCCCTGCATGATGATGGTAAGATCGACGATAACACTGGAGATGCTTTCAAGCCCGAAGTTATTACAGACTATAATCTTACGAAAGGAGGCGTAGATGTGGTCGACAAAATGAAATCTGAATATTCAACAGCACAGCAATAGATGGCCATATACCGTATTCTGTGGGCTTCTGAACATATCAACCATCAACAGCCAAATAATCTAACGAGGGAATACCAACAATATTATTACAAGAAGACTATTTATATCGGAACTTAGTAAATTGCTTGTCATGCCTCACCTGTACAGACGTTCTCAGATTCCAAGTCTGCCTTATCTACTTAGTCAAAAGATTAGAAACATAACTGGAGAAAGACCAACCCCAAATAGAGACCAAGCCACTCAAGCCAAAGTGAAATGTGAATTCTGTCCATTGAGAAAAAACAGGTTCACTCAGAGAAATTCTTCAATCTGTAGATCACCGATATGCAAGGAACATACAGAAATAACTTCATTGACCTGTCGTGAATGCTATGGACGTAACGAGAATGTTTAAAGTGCGTAAGTGTTTTGTAAAGCATTTATGTAAACGCTTTCAATATATACCCTGCATTTTTCTTTTAGGGTTTCCTTCAGCTCTAGAGGATTCCAGAATGAAACATCAGAAGAAGAAACCTTCAGTTCAGAAATTTTAGATGAAGAATTTTCAGTCTTTTGTTAGTATTTTTGTTATAGTTTATAGCAATAATTTTTCACTAATGTATAGCTTAATAGTATACTTGACAATATAAACATTTAATTTAAGCAAAAATAGCTTTTTTATTGAACATCTGAATGTTAGATAAAATCTAGCACGCGAGCGATGGTGTAATAGAATGAGGCGCGAGCGATGGAGGGTTAATAATGATTTAAATGCGATTTCACATTATGTAAAGTACGACAGTCTAAAACTCAACGCTGAAGAAAACTAAAACTGCCCGTTTCAGCTCAAAAACTAAGAATACTTTCGGATCTTTTTACTTGAAAAAAAAACAAATAAGGTTTAGTGTTACAGTATTTGGAATATTTTTTGTTTCAAAACTAAGATTCTGTGAAGTTTATAGAACTTGATATATCATTACGGCTTATACATGCAAACAAAAACATTATGACTGAATCTATTAAGCAAGCGATATGCGAAGGTTTAGATATATCCAAAATGCTATATTGTGCTACCGTTAATTTTTCATGCTCAGATCAAGCCACAGCAAAACGAATACAAAACATCAAACAAAATTTTTGCCATCTGATATATATATATATTATATAATTTTAAAAAATATGACCATACTTCAAGGAGCATTGTTAGTACGGGTTGGTAAGACGTCATTGGGATTTCCCGATACAATTTACTCACTATTATACACAAAATTGATTTTAATAAAAAGTCCTTATATTTTAAATACAAACTTATACCTCGCTTAAATATAATTTCATCCATTAGAGTTATCAAACCTCCTCATTTATTTAACATGCCACACTACAAGACAGCTTTACTAAGCGTAGTTACTATACTAAGTGGCATATAAATATTATTGGCCTTAAGGGACCGTTTCTCCACTACCAGGTCCATTGCAGATGAATGGTTTGCAGAACACGGAAGACCTATTGGCATGCGAAGTGTTTACCGACGAATGAGAAGTTTTGGCTTGTTTTCATACCGGCCACACTGGGTCCTCCCTTTAACTCGAGAACACCGACGTAATCGCCTTGAGTGGTGCAGACAACGGTCACTCTGGGATCAGGAATGGATCAGTATTGTCTATAGTGACGAGTCTCGATTTTGTTTAGGCATGCACGATGGTCGTACCAAGGTTAGAAGGCGACGTGGTGAAAGGAGGAATCCACAGTTTTTTATTGAAAGACATGTTCATCATACTGTTGGAGTTATGGTTTGGGGTGCTATAGTTTATGGTTCCAGGTCACTTTTAATCTTTTCATCAGAGGTAACATGGACGCGCAGCGTTATATCCACGAAGTTCTAGAACCTCATCGTTTACCCTATCTTGACACCCTGGCAGATCCAACTTTCCAACAAGATAATGCCCGACCACATGTTGCACGAGTCACAATAGACTTCTTTCAACATAATGATATCACATTGTTACCATGGCCACCAAGATCTCCCGACTTATCCCCAATTGAGCAAGTGTAGGATATGATGGGTAGGAGATTGCTCAATTTGCAACGTCCTCCTCAGACTCTAGAAGCACTTCGAGAGGAGTTGGTGGTTGCCTGGAATGAGATACCACAGGAGAACATTGACCACCTGATCAGAAGCATGCCTAGGCGCGTTGGAGAATGCGTAGCACATCAGGGTTTATCCACACATTATTAAAGGTCAAAGGGCTTTAAAGCAGTGCAATCATTTTGAAAGTTTTATCATTTACTTATTATGCTTCATTAAGTACTTATACAAAATTTTATTAAAATAAAACCATTTAAACTGGGTGTTCGGATTTATATGTCACTTAGTATATTTACAACTCTATTCCGGAAAAATGAAAGCATTGCCTTTGAATAGATTTAAATATTATTTCTGCGTGTGTGTGTTTATATGTGCTTGAAGATTCAATTTCAAATTTAAATAGATTGACATAACTTTGTTCACTGTTATACTTTTTTTGATACTTGGGTCAAGTGGAATGATACATGAGATAATTTTGGCGCTTTTATAATGTATCCATAATAAATAAAGACGATTGTTGTTATTATTAACTAGACGTACGGTAGCTGAGTGGTTACCGCGTCGAGCTAGCAATCGACGCACCCGAGGCTAGCATCGAGCTATGGATGTTGCGTTGTGTGACGACTACATAGTATCGCTGAAACTAGTTTATTCAATTTAGCTGTCAGTAAAAATAATAATGAGGCATATATGCCCAGATGATAGACCATTTACATATCAATGCGTTTGAAAAAAAAGTTCATGTACGAAATTCATCTAAAACTAACTTTACAAACCAACAAATTGATACGACATTGAGTTCTTACTTCTGGAAAGCTGCAACAGAAAATGTCACAGCCTGTTCAGGCTTGCACATACTTCATTAATAAGTGCTGTTATTGACAGATGTGTTTGAGCTCTTCCACATAAATATGTGTAATGATCTTCAGGATTAAGTCCCAATACAAAAATATTTATCTGTGATAATAGGTGGATGGTCAGGTTTGCCATTTAGTAAATTGCGTCAAAATAAATGGATAACTGACTCCTATGGCTCTCTAGAGATGGAAAATTAGATCTAGGTATTCACAAGCATTACATAATCACTTCCACTTTGTGGGTAAACTTTTTTTTGAACATTTTGGTTACCTGTTTTAAAGGGTGTCTCGACAAGAGCGCCTTATTTAAATTTGCCGCCATTTTTATTGCACAAATGGTATGGTGCTTACTTGAAGACAGCTGTCATGCCCAGACCACACGATTAAGCCTCATGGAGCACCACTCAAACGAGCAACGTTTAATTATTTTGAAAACTCACTACAAAAATGGAGAAAATTACGGGGAGACAGTTCGCAAGTTACGTACACTTTCGCAATAATGCGCCAAATGACTCAAAGGTTCGTCGTTTAATTACAAAATTTGAGACAAAATTCACGTTGCTGGATGTGGGGACTACTGTTTGTCGCTGCGCTGGTCGGTCCCTCGCAAATATAGTCCAAGTGCGGGAAAGTGTAGCCGAGAATCCAGGCACTTCCACTCGGCATCGTGGCCAAGAATTGAGCCTTACCAGACCCACTCTGCAACGAATTTTTGCAAAAGATCTGCACTTGCATCTGTACAAGGTTCACTGACGCAAGAACTCAAGTCAACGGACCATGCGCAGCGCCGTGAATTCGTCGATTGGGCGCTGGAGCACCACCAAATTGACGCGGCTTTCTCGAAGAAAATTATTTTCTCTGATGAGGTGCATTTTCACCTGAATGGGTACGTCAATAAGCAGAATTACCGAATTCGGGGTTGTGAAATCCCTCGTGTAATAATCGAGCAGCCAATGCATCCAGCGCGAGTTACCGTTTGGTGCGCATTGTGGAGTGGAGGAGTGATTGGACCGTATTTCTTCGAAAATGCAGCTGGAACTGCGGTAACTGTTACCGGTGTGCGGTATCGCGAAATGTTAACCGAGTTTTTGTTTCCCCGGTTGGATTGAATTGATGTAGAGGATATGTTCTTCCAACAAGATGGTGCGCCCTGCAGTACTTCTCGCGAAACAACGATACTACTGCGGACCAAGTTTCCAAACCGTGTCATCTCTCGGTTTGACAATCAAAATTGGCCACCACTATCGTGCCATCTAACCCCAATGAACATTTTCCTCTCGGACTATGTGGAGGAAAAGGTGTATACGAACAGTCCACAAACAGTTGAACGCCTTAAAGAAGAGATACGGTGAGTTATCAACAAAATAGAGCCCCAGTTGTGCGAAATTGTTATCCAGAATTTTAATAAAAGCAAGAGGTTTCGTGGTGGCCGTTTACCGGATGTCATATTTCATGATTAACCGCAACTATTCCTCTTCATGTTGAAACATAAACACTTGCTCAATTCGAAAAGAAATAGTGTTTTTCTTGAAAACCAAATCAGACGCTCTTATTGAGACATCCAATATAAGTATTGTGAATTGGGTTCCATACTATTCTAATTTCGACTTGACTAGACTAAAATACAATAGTTAGTGCCGGCAGATCAGTACAATGCTTGCAGTTTCTTATGATAAGGCCATAAGGTCGAAAAGCATTCGTAACAATTTGATTAATCTGCGAATTGAATTTTAACCAACTGTCAAAGCAAGCTCCTAGATCTCTGATTGAGTCAGTCAGAGATAGCTAGTGGAGTAGTACTCTGTTGATACTGCTGTCGACAAAAAGGTGGCCACCTTTGATGCTTTCCTTTCATAGCAATTAGCTAAAACACACCATCTTACACAGAATCAAAGACACAGGTACTCGCACATATGTGAACCCGAATATCAATGGCAGGAGAACAATCCGCGAAGGATACGTTCGGGAGCATAAAGCGGGAAGACAAGGAAACCCACTCAGGCGTATCGCCAGCATCGATTCCCACACTCGAATGGGAAGAGAATGGGAACTGTTCCCGGTTCTGCCGATCCCTTTGCGGTCTTTCGTTTCACGCTCACGCTGTCTGCTAAAAGGAAAAGGGAAAAGTTCATGCTGGATGCTGGGCATTTCTATCAGTTTTATGTGTAACGGCATGGGAGCGGAAAGCTTTGCCGCGCTGCCTTTGGTAATATATAGGATACGCTGCTTGCTAGAAGGTTAATCCCTTGAGTGAGGGCCAGCATCTTTGTTATTGTGACAGCAGATACACGGTTGCTACTATTCGCTATGGGCCCACTGGGCGGTGGGTAGCCAAGATGACGACAGCTCGAGATAACTTGATAGCGTGAGGTATACCAATCCATGCAAGAAATGATCCGAATGATTATGCTGATTACCAAGGCATATGCCTGCAGTCAAGGTCTTTGAGCTTAATATCAAAAACCACCTGATATAGTATTGCAGTTGGAATATGCTAGCCTCAGAAAATAGGCTTGGTTTTATCAATTGTAAAAGTACCGAATCTGCGATGTACAGTTTCACCAATTACGTAGCAAAATTGTTAAAAAACAACATATTTGTCGCCTGTTCTTAGACTTCTTTCGAGCTCCTAATCATGTTGATCATGAGTTGATGCTGTATAAATTGTGCAACTGTGCATACCTCCAAGGAAGAAAGCCATATGTCCGTGTTAATAATGCAAGTAGCGA